TTTCTTGTAAGGTTTGTAATTTTATTCAGACCTTAAAAATAACCTAAAATTACATTTGTAATTAACCATCGTCCACGGAACAATTTCGAGACCTGCATCAAACCATGTCAATGGAATGTCACACTTAAGATGAAGTCAGATGCAGTTTTCTTTATAGTCTACTATCCATCTTACAGAGGTTTTAACTGTACTTGCGTGTATTTTTCATAGGTTTCCACAATGTGACAAAGCCACCGTGAATGTATTTATTGAGGTTACACGGTAGTGCTAACAAAAAATACTTAGCATCTTTATTGATATTTTTAACATTATAAATGAAAATTCAAATTTACAAATGACATTCTTTATTAATTACACAATTAAAGTTCACAGTAGTCGTAAGCTCAACTAAAGAAAAATAAACTTCTCAGAAGATCCTTAAGGTACATGTTTTTATTCTTTATTTCATTTATTTTCTCCCTCTCTCTCACTTCCCCAATACAGTTTTAGCAAAAGCTGTTGTAGTTGTTGCCGGACATCTGGTCGCTGGGCCCGAAGCCGTTGTTGGAGTTGAAGCCACTGCCGAAGCTGCTACTGCCCATGCCACTGCTGAGTCCGCTGGCCATGCCGCTACCCAGCCTGCTAAGACTGCTAGACATGCTGCCGAGGCCGCCGCTAAGACTGCCGCCCATGCCTCCGCCCATGCTGCCGCCCATTCCTCCACCACCTCCTCCTCCTCCTCCACTGCCGCCCATGCCTCCTCCCATCCCCCCACCCATGCCTCCTCCCATTCCCCCACCCATTCCACCTCCCATGCCCCCGCCCATGCCGTCGTCACTGCCGTAGCCGCTTCCCATGCCGTTGCCGAAGCTACTACCACCTGAAAAGAAATGGGCTTCGTTATAGAAAGGGCAGCGTCAGGCTTAACTAAAATTATATCAATCTTTTATTACAAATTTACTTGCTTGTGCGTCACAAATTTGTTGGCTTGCGTTACATGTACGTTGTAACAAAAGATTTTCGTATAAGATATACAGGTAATAAACGAGTCCGTGTTCTCCAATTACAGTAATTAGAGTTTCTGTGAGCCAACCATGCAAATCCGATATTAAATTTAATGACTGCCCCATGGACCCATTTCAGAAATGAAATTAAAATTCTAGAATTTAGCTAGTACACTGAAAAGTTTCCCCATTTAACTCAAAAGTAGTTTACCCCATGCACTTACGCTAAATTGTTCGCAAACAATTATAAAACTACCCAATCCTGCAAATGATAAAAGGTTTGCCCACCCTCCCCATACTGAATAAACATTACAAAAGACAACAATCAAAAGTACTAGTATCGTAGTCTCTCACTTCCTTTCTTCCCCCTCCCTCTCATCACGCATACAAGTTAGTTGGCTGCCCCTACTTACGGTAAATGGTGCGAATTCGACGTACCTACCTCCCCCCATTCGGCTGCCCCCCCCATATCCCCCACCAAACCCGCCGCCCATGTTGCCGCCGCTGAAGTTGCCTCCGCCGCCGCCTCCGAAGTTTCCGGAGCCTGGCCCGCCCATGGGACCTGGACCTCCCATTGGACCTCCAGGACCGCCCATGTTACCGCCGGGCGTTGAGTTCAGAAAAAGTTCAATGTAGCGATGTTGCATGTTCGCCTTGTCCTGGGAGAGAAAGTTTTGTTACAACACTAAGAAATTAAGTTTATATAGTAGATGTCCAAGATTTTATAGGCAAATTATGGAAAAACAAACTAGAGATGAAAAATACTAGACTAGCATGTTCATCTCTCTTACCTTAGACATAGCTTTGACTGCATCATCATGTGTAGCGAACTCAATGTCTGCTTCTCCTGAGGGCCTGTTCTGGCTGTCCATGATAATATTGATGTTGACTGGGTTCAGTGGTCTGAAGAACTGTGGATAAAAAAAAAAAAACATTTATATAGTCTCAATTAGAGTATGCCTACATGTGCAATGAACAACTAATAGTAAGTATTGCTACCCTTTGTAGGAACTTATGAAAAATCGACTGACTAAGTGGTGTGGAATAACGAGGCACAGTAGTAACAAAACCAGTGTTAACAACTGAAGTGTTCAAGCTCATCGACAGAGAGTGAAGGTAATTTCCCTTCCCCCCACCGTACAAGTACATTCATCACACAACAGTGATGAATGCACTATCAATTGAAAATATCCTGTCAAAGAACCTTATTTCAAACTTACATCAGCAATATCCATCTCTGTTGCACGGAATGGAAGACCTCTCATGTGCACACAGTGGCCTGTCCCTCCACTGCTCCAACTGCCACCACGTCCACCTCCAAAATTACCCTGTAAATAAAGTTAATTACCCTCTATTCCAGTTGCTCTTACTATTTCTTTCATCACATTTTAACAGTAAAACGCATTTAGAACCACTCCTATTCTCTTTCCGTACCTTCATACCGCCAGGTCCTCCACCTCTTCCACCTCCTCGACCACTCTGCCAACTACTGGGTCCATCATTGTATCCCCCAGAACCACCCCAGCCTGGGCCATCATCATAATCATTGTACCCACCTGAAACAAAGCCATCATAGCCATCATAGTCATTGTACCCACCTGAAATAAAAAGGTGACAACCTTAAACTTCCTGTAATTGACAGTATTCAAATCTATTCCAAGTATACATAAATTATTAAGAAAAGGAAAAAGCTGCAGGTAAACCTACGTGTTCTTCCACGTCCACCCAGGCTGTATCTGTTCATGCCCCCAAATCTGTCACGAGAGTCATAAGGAGCTGGTCTGTTATTGTAACCGCCCATGGGTCCACCAGGTACTCTCATCTTGGGGCTCATCGCTGCACGCACTTCTCCAAGATTGCTTCTGAAGATCTCAATGTATCTGCAGGGAAACCAGTTTTGCTAACCTTCCAAACTTTAATTTGTATATCTATTATGTGATGTCAATCTCATACTTGGACATATTCAAATTGTACAGTGATTACTAGATTATATATTGCGGTGTTTTGTCCATTTCATAAAACAAAGGCAATGTTTGAATTTGCTATTATAATTTTATGAGGTTTGAAACTTATTGCTAGCTGATGATCCTGTAAATACAAGAGAACTACAACTGACTAGGTTTGACCCAGTCTTAGTAGTACTGGTTGTGTTGAGTTTGGGTCAATTCAATCAAAACAAAAAAGGTAACCATTAAATGTATGTCTTTGTTCTACTGACAACACACCAAATCAATAGGAAGTGAAATATGAATTTCACCTGATACTTCTTTCTTTTAAAGAAACATTATTACTGTCATTCAAGTTATTTCAGTCTATATTTTCATTACTGTAAACAAATTTATAGGTCTAAAAAGCTTACAACCGTTACCAAGACCGTGGATTGTCCGAGTCCCAGGCCCGGCCCCACAAGCCCGCGCCCGTGTCCCGGCCCTGTGTCTCCTCCCGATCCTTCCCGGCCAGCCCAACAGTGGCCCAGCCCGGCCTACCAGCTCCAGCCCAGGCCCACCGCCCGACTGCCCACCGCTCCGGCCTCCTCTGCCTACCTGACTCACCGACAGCCCACCCTCCTACCAGGGGCTATCTGCTCCTCTGCTGCCATCTCCTCCACTTCCAAGTGCCCTTCCAGACTTCTCTTATTACTAACATACATTCAGGCTCAAGAGTAGTTGGGACTTCCTTCACCAAATTGAAGTTCTACTTTATAGGTAAAGAGACCCATCATGATACTTTTTAAATTTTCTAAATAGAGCTCAAGAAACTTCTTACCTTCATGCATATTAAAGAGAAAAATTAAGAAGAAATCGGAAGTCCCATTTATGGTTAAAACTAGAATACGACAGACCCTTACCCACTAAAAGCTGTCTTTGGGAGTGTTGCTAGGATGTGAACCAGGCTCCCACCCTCGCATCCTCCCTCATCCAGCATGTAAAGTCTTATAGAAACTGGGGTTTGGTTTTTGGGATTAGAGAGTGGCATCTTTTTCCTGGTAACCTTTTCTCTTCCATCTAATTGTTAAAAAATTGGACTAAACCAAAAAAAGCAAGCAACATTTACAAAAAAAAATAATAATAATAAAGGAACTAAGATGCCATTCTCCAAGGGGACATTGGATATTCCTTGCCATCAATGATCTTCTAAGCTTAATTTTTCATGCAAAATCCTTTCTCTTAGAAAGTGATGTTGAGCCTGAGTATCACCCAAGGCAACTGCAAGGAAAACATCCTGGGAAGTGTTACACCCTCCCAATCCTCCCTCCCTTCCTCTCCACCAGCACCAGCTACTTCCCTTTAGGTGCCACAGGGTTGGTTTTGTACAAATTTCATATGCATATTGCCTACAAACTGCAAGGACATATATATGTAAGTTATTAAATGAAACATGAGATCAATCATCTTAAATAAAAAATTAAATAGGTCAAGAATTTGCATATGAAAATTGTCTGCAAACCGCCCACCACCCTTCATGTACTGATAACCTGAGTGCAACACCACTCCTCTTCAGCGTTGCCATCCCACCTGTGAGCTATTTTTTCCTTATGCTTCTCAAGGGCCTTTTCAGCGACCTCTTTGTTAACAAATTGAACGTATGCCTCCCCCGTATGCCGCCCCTGGTAGTCGGTAGGCAGAGCTATCCCGTTCGGAACTATCTCCAACCCTACCCAGCGACATCGAAAGAGAATAATGTTATGAAAATCATGGCTATTATAATATGTGACTTACATTATTTGAATATTTGAGGACCATTAAGAATTAGAAGATATTTGGTTACTATTTACTATTGGTACTCTATGGATATACATAAAATTCTGGAGGTGCATGAAGACTGTACAAATCTTAAGGAAAAAAAAAAAAAAAAAAAAAAAAAAAAAAAAAAAAAAAAAAAAAAAAAAGTTTACCCACTAATTATGGTTGGCAAACCAAAAATCTTTTTAAACAATTTTCTTTATTACAGTCAAAATAGAATGCCAAGCTTATTTTCCCTTATCCTCAAGTGTTGAAAGTGTCCAGCATTTTTGTTTTTTTTTTGTTTTTTTTTTGTTTTTTTTTTGTTTTTTTTTTGTTTTTTTTTTGTTTTTTTTTTGTTTTTTTTTTGTTTTTTTTTTGTTTTTTTTTTGTTTTTTTTTTGTTTTTTTTTTGTTTTTTTTTTGTTTTTTTTTTGTTTTTTTTTTGTTTTTTTTTTGTTTTTTTTTTGTTTTTTTTTTGTTTTTTTTTTGTTTTTTTTTTGTTTTTTTTTTGTTTTTTTTTTGTTTTTTTTTTGTTTTTTTTTTGTTTTTTTTTTGTTTTTTTTTTGTTTTTTTTTTGTTTTTTTTTTGTTTTTTTTTTGTTTTTTTTTTGTTTTTTTTTTGTTTTTTTTTTGTTTTTTTTTTGTTTTTTTTTTGTTTTTTTTTTGTTTTTTTTTTGTTTTTTTTTTGTTTTTTTTTTGTTTTTTTTTTGTTTTTTTTTTGTTTTTTTTTTGTTTTTTTTTTGTTTTTTTTTTGTTTTTTTTTTGTTTTTTTTTTGTTTTTTTTTTGTTTTTTTTTTGTTTTTTTTTTGTTTTTTTTTTGTTTAAAACTAGAATACGACAGACCCTTACCCACTAAAAGCTGTCTTTGGGAGTGTTGCTAGGATGTGAACCAGGCTCCCACCCTCGCATCCTCCCTCATCCAGCATGTAAAGTCTTATAGAAACTGGGGTTTGGTTTTTGGGATTAGAGAGTGGCATCTTTTTCCTGGTAACCTTTTCTCTTCCATTTAATTGTTAAAAAATTGGACTGAACCAAAAAAAGCAAGCAACATTTAACAAAAATAATAATACTAAAGGAACTAAGATGCCATTCTCCAAGGGGACATTGGATATTCCTTGCCATCAATGATCTTCTAAGCTTAATTTTTCATGCAAAATCCTTTCTCTTAGAAAGTGATGTTGAGCCTGAGTATCACCCAAGGCAACTGCAAGGAAAACATCCTGGGAAGTGTTACACCCTCCCAATCCTCCCTCCCTTCCTCTCCACCAGCACCAGCTACTTCCCTTTAGGTGCCACAGGGTTGGTTTTGTACAAATTTCATATGCATATTGCCTACAAACTGCAAGGACATATATATGTAAGTTATTAAATGAAACATGAGATCAATCATCTTAAATAAAAAATTAAATAGGTCAAGAATTTGCATATGAAAATTGTCTGCAAACCGCCCACCACCCTTCATGTACTGATAACCTGAGTGCAACACCACTCCTCTTCAGCGTTGCCATCCCACCTGTGAGCTATTTTTTCCTTATGCTTCTCAAGGGCCTTTTCAGCGACCTCTTTGTTAACAAATTGAACGTATGCCTCCCCCGTATGCCGCCCCTGGTAGTCGGTAGGCAGAGCTATCCCGTTCGGAACTATCTCCAACCCTACCCAGCGACATCGAAAGAGAATAATGTTATGAAAATCATGGCTATTATAATATGTGACTTACATTATTTGAATATTTGAGGACCATTAAGAATTAGAAGATATTTGGTTACTATTTACTATTGGTACTCTATGGATATACATAAAATTCTGGAGGTGCATGAAGACTGTACAAATCTTAAGGAAAAAAAAAAAAAAAAGTTTACCCACTAATTATGGTTGGCAAACCAAAAATCTTTTTAAACAATTTTCTTTATTACAGTCAAAATAGAATGCCAAGCTTATTTTCCCTTATCCTCAAGTGTTGAAAGTGTCCAGCATTTTTGTTTTTTTTTGTTTTTTTGTTTTTACTGTATTTCCATAAGACTAAGAAAATCTAATTAGTTATAACATTTATGAAAAAGGAGCTTAAATTTTTTTTTCAGCTAGGATATCCATGCACATATATATATAATTATATACATGTGGTTAGAACAACAAAAACAGCTCCTCCTCTTTCACCTCTACGTTAATCAAAGAAAAAAAAATATATATATACACATTTAAGACGGAAACCCTCACCTGAGAAGAACTGTGCGATCTCCTCCTTGGAACAACCAAAAGGCAAACCACGGAGTCTGACACAACCGTCGTCTTCACCCCCAGAGCCGCCAAAGCCAGCCCTCTTGACGACCCATTCCATTTCGGAGCGCTTCGCCTTAAAGACTGTGGGGCATTTAAACGTGGTTAGATTAATCCTTGATCTGAGTTCATTTCCAGTTCTAGGAAGCATACAAGGAATAAATGTATGGGGGGGAGGGGAGGGGGTGTTTGGGATTTGTATGAGAACTGTATCACTCATTTGCTGAGGGAGGGGGAGAGAGAGGGAAAGGAAAAATAGAGGATAAAAAGCACTAGAATTAAGAAAACAGGAAAAGGGGCAGAGAAAAAAATCAAGAGAACAGAAAAAGGAAACAAAGGACAAGAACCACCACAACTTGTAGGTTCTTACACAAGTAAAATATTTCCCCTAGAAGGATTGTGTGAAACATCTCAGGGCCTAACATTGCACCGAGAGCCAATTCCATAACTTAAGAATTTAATCATTTTTAGTCATTTGCAAAGATTAGATTTACCTTCAATATATCTACGCCCCATGTGTTGGTTGTGTTTCTTCTCGGCTAGTGCAACATCATCTTCGCTGGCTACTTCAACGTAGGCCTCGCCACTTGGACGGCCTTCACGTGAGAGGGTCAGGTGGACACCATCACGACCGTTCTTGATGTTTACACCATCTGCCGAAATGCAAGAGAAATTAGAACCTTATGCTGCACAAACAAAAGAACTGAATAAGCTAGAAAGAATAGGGTGGGAGTGTGATAAATAACTGAGGAAAGGGAATTTCTAATTATTTCTCTATTCTATTCTATTTCATTTCATATTTTATCAATTTATTTATTTTATTTATTTTTTTTTTTTCCTTACCAAAGAACTTGAGAATGTCCTCGACAGTTGCGGACCATGGAAGGCCGCGCACCCTGACCACAGTCTCCTCATCACCACCTTCATTCATGGTGGGCTTCTCATCTTCTGCAAAAATAAAAAATAGGAAGTTTTATCAAAACTTTTAATGTGAAACTTTACTGTAATAAAGTAAATTGTGTTAGTACAACTATATGAAAATCCTAGACTATTTATTGAGTGCATATGCCCAGAACAAAACACTTTAGGTTTCAAAAATTGAAGCTCAAGTAGAACCTATACTTTTTTTTAAAAGGCACTCAACATGAATTACAATTCCAAAACAATCGGTTTCATATCTATAAATCTAGAATAGGATGAGTCAAGCTCATGTGAATCTCTCAAACACCTGTGAATCTCTCAACTGTTTGGCAACTTGACACCTGCCACTAGCCAACACACCAATTTCCATAATGGAACACCTTCTATATTCTAGTGATATGGACTTTAGAGACCTATAATTTATTGTCAAACAAGGGATAACTGCCTATCTTATGATTGCTAAAATAATGCAATGTTAGCACAAAGTGCATAACACTCCACTAACATCAGGATGACCCAAGACAATGTTAGCTACTTTGTGTAAAAAATTGAAAAACACTAAAAAAGCCTTTTCAAATAAATACATTTTAAAATGGGAATTCAATTCATTGAAAAATTGAAGTGGTACTACTGAAAAGTCCAGATGTTGGTGTAGCTATTTACCATGAGAGCTAATTGTGTCGCAAGACTACAACTGGTTGGTTAATGCCAGGGAAAGATGCCCGACACTTCGGTCTTGTCATTTCATCTATATAATTCATATGTACGCGGTTAATCACATCCGGAAAGAGGAAAACCAGGACTAGTAGTAAAGACAAGAATTATAATTGATAGCATATCCTTAGTAATATAAAAATACTAAACAAGCTTGAGGCCATTTTTGAGCTCTTGTAGTTTAAACATCGACCATCTCCATGCTCCCAGCGCTAGGAATGGCAAGAAAAACATTAGGATAAGACAAAATTTCATGGCTCCCATTTCAGGTATTGCCAGAATACATGAAGAAGACACTAACAGGCCAGACTAGCCTCGATACAAACAACGAAAGCAATTACGGAATCTAAATTCATGCTAATAGGCCTAAGCCAAAGCACAAACATAAGTAGATCTACAAATTTCATTTTCACATGACCAGGAATCTTTCCCCAAATGTCTAGTTTTAGGAATGCTTGAAGAAAATAGTTTTGAATGACTGAGTAATCAATTTTAATGTGTGGTATCTGAAGTGACAACTTGAACGCCTATAAAGATATGAAAACGCGCACCGCCATTTAGCAAAGCTTTCAAAGGACCCAAGACTTGTAAGAAAAATAGGTGGCATAGCCAGGCGCAATGGCGGCGTGCCTTCTAAGCAAACGATGTGCATCACCAACGAACCGGGCGTCTGGGCCCCGTTTCCCTCCGAACGCCCGGGCCTCCCGTACTGACGCCACGCGACTCAGGCCGCGAGGCCGAGCAAGCACCGCGCCCAGGATCGGCCAGGCGCGAGAGGGGCATGAGAGGGGGAATTCCGCTCGTGGCTGGTGGGAATCCAGCGAGATCTAAAGCCCACACAACCGACGCATCGGCTTTCCCCAGGCAGGGGGCGCTGGGAAACAAACTGCACAAAGTGGGCTCAAGGGATAGCATCCAGGAGAGGAGAATAATGCAGCCAGACAGGCCCCCATGAAACGAGCAAGAGAATAGCGTTGAAGAGAAGCGGAAAGCGGGCGGGCGGAGGGCCAGGCCACGCGGTGCGGGCGGCGGGCGTCCAACATGGCGTCCCTCGCGCCCTCCCGCCGGCGCTCTGCGATACTTACCTCCGTTGCCCATCGTATCTCCAGTCAATTCGCCGCACGACTGTCAAACAAGCTCCCGGTGACGCTCTGCACGACGCACGGCCGACTTCTCGGTATGCAAAGTGAGCGAGTACTCCTGAAGAGGGACGTAGCGGAGGGGAGAATTGGCGCGTGGGTTTCTCCCTGGAGTCGAGCGGCGTCTGAGTGGCTTCGGAGGAGCGCGTCGCGGAGCGCGTCCGCCGCGGAGCAATACCGTGGAGCGGGATGTTTGAATCGGATAAATTCGATTCCGATCGCTCTGGCTTATTGTCGACCTTTGAA